CAGATGCAATCTATATCAGCAATGGCATAGTAAGATCACATTTAAAATTTACCATAGGAATTTCCATTCTTAGGGGATAAGAGTAGAGGAGACTCTAACGAGTCTGTGAAATATTATATTAAATTTTCATGTATTTATTAATAAAGATAAGTTCTTTTCTACATCTGTACAAATTACACCATTAAGACATATAATTTTTGTTTACATCTAACCCATGCATGTACATAAAATATTATGGACATGGTGAATGTTCACAAAAACTTTTGTATTATAATCAGAGCAGTCTGGTGTGACAGATTCTTTTCTTCACAGTGTTCATTTTTGTTTGTTTGTTTGTTTGTTTTACTTTATTTCAGATATTCTGTAGTCTCTGTGATGGACACAAAATCCTTACTTTTTTTTTCCACTAAGAGATGGGTTAGATCAATAATGAGAGGATAATCGGTGGTATGTGGAAATGATTTACAGAAATGAGAACAAATTGTAAGGTGTTAAGTGAAACAGAGCTTTCCACTTTCAGAAAAACGAATGAGAACCAACAATTGCGGAAAGCCACAAAGCAGCTGGACTGAAACTCAAAAAATGGATAGAGTTTGTACACAGCCATGCAGAGAATACTTTTGTTCCAATTCATATCTTTTTCTTTACCTAGTCCTTTCTAATCCAGATGAGCTAAAGCCTTATAGTCAAGAACCAGCAAGGCAAGTTCCACTTCTTCTGGTCATTAAATGATATTAATTGCAGTCATTACTTGTTAGATCCTCGTCCAGGTATTTCATGTTAAGGGGCTATGAGTTAAAAATGTTGTAAGTTTTAAATGAATCAGTATGCTTTTTTATGCCAAAATTTCTGCAATAAAATTGCATTCAAGACTACTGATGGAAATTAAGGTGCTATAAATAGGTTTAAGAACTGGGAAGCACATAATCTTAAACATTTCACATTATTTATTATCTCTCTTTCCCACAGTCTTATAGGGCCAGGACCTTAGATACTAATCTAAAAATCCAATCTGAAACTCCTCCTCTGCGGGTGTTTACTGCTCGGCCTACAGTATGTGGAGTCTTGATTTGAAAACTTGAACTCACAATACGGCATTGTTTTACCCTCTGACAGCTCAAAACCACAGCCTATTTGTTGCTGTGGTTGTAAATTATGACTAAATCATTTTCTAACATGATGTATTTCTTTCCTTTAATGTTCCTTCCCAGCCTCAGAATATATTCATACGAAGAGGTTGCTTGTGATTTTAATACGCTAATATCCTCACATACAGTCAATGTGTACATACTTTTAAAGATAAACACACAGATATGTAAACATATACAGGAAGATTTGTACCGAAACAAATCACTCCCAAATCTCTTTCCTGTTATGCTTATGATCAAGATCTATACCGTGTCAGACTGATGCATTTGTTTTCTACAAGTT